TTTTTTAGTGGACTGATACTGTCTGTTATATGAGTGTAAATTACCCTTGTTCTTTTCTTGGAATTTATGTTACGGTGCGTAATTTTTTGTTTTTCCACCCAATGATCAAAAACAAGGTCCTTCTCTCTCTACCTTAATTGTAGGTTGTGGGATCAAATTAAGACCATGCTACATGAATGGTTTTCACCAGTCAGAGAGAGAGGAGAGAGTTTCTGTTTACCAACCTGAAATAGTGTGCTGCAGCACATTCACAGCCATTAGCTGTTGTTTGAAAGCAGGTTGGTTTGCTGCTTTAGTAGGTCAGTATTGTGATGTCTCAAATTTGGCCTCTGCAAAATGGATGGATTTCTCGCTTCACTTTCTTTATCCAGCCTTGCTTTTGAACTGACTGTTGGATAAAAAAAAGTGCTAGAGAGAATCTAGATCCCCAGCAAAATACTGTTCAATTTGACTACCAATAGGGTATATCCAACCCAACTTTACATTATTGGATGTTGTTGTTTAGGGAAGATAAAAAATACCTGGAGTTCAATATATCAGCCTAGTAAAGCAGTCAAATTGGTATGTTCACTATTCAAAATAAAAGTAGGCCAGTTTTAGCTTGGTATGGTATGCCAATCAAACAACTATGATCACAAAATTGTAAGACTTAGAGAAAGAAATAAGCATCTTTTCTTTATTAGCGATTCTGGCTTCGAGTTGTAACTTGCAATCAAGCTGAGAATGAATTTTTGGAGTTAGCTCACCCTTGCGGATGCGACCCATTTTTTTCGCACATGAGTACGAAACTATAATCTTTTTCATTCCTTTTCTTGTCTATAATGAAGAGGGAGAGACATTTAGTTTGTGTTGAGTTTTTTTTTTTTTGAACTTTTGAAAAACTAAATTGGTTAAAAAAACTCAATAATCTCTTATGTTTTTTTATTTTTTGGAGTGATTTTTTTTTTTAATATATATTTTTATGTATTTCATCAAATTAGTTTCTAATTATTTAAAAATAAAATGTTCTGACAAGAATTCAAATTAGTTTTAATTATTTAAAATATCCAGATTATCGGTTAAAAAAAATATTTAGGTATTGTAATGAGCGATAGTGGGTTGAATAGGTGTTTGAATTATTAAAATACTATTTAACTATTTCATTAACGAATAAATTAAAAATAAAAATTTATATTAATATTGACTAACTGGATAAATTAAAAATAAAAATCACTCACCTTGTTTGGTTTTGGATTTAGGCAGCTGTGCAACAAAACAGATCGCCCGACCCGCACGCCCAAACCCGAACCCGACCCGATGCCTGATGACATGATGCAGTGGACCCTGCGCGGCAGTTGCGCGGCCTGTTTTTCGTTTTCCTCGGTGTTTCGGGGTCGGGGCGGTGATCCGCTATTTACCCAGTAGACCCGACTCGCTGACTTTTTTTTTGGATTCAATTTTTCCTTACGCTCTCACTGCCGTCAGGCCCCCCTTTTTAGATTTTCCCTAATTTCTTATAGACCCAACAAAACAAATCCACAACACACACGCAGGGACTCTCTCTCCTCTCTCTCTCTCTCTCTCTCTACCCTACCATCCACATCTACACAGTGAACCCAACACATCCGACGATCTACACAGTGGATGAGCCGACGATTCTTACACATTGAACCTCTGACCGACGATCTACACTTCTGAACGGCGATCGATTTGCATTGAACGACGATCGATCTACAGTGAGGTCTCTTTCTCTCTCTCTCTAGACGATCGATCGATTAAATAGAAGTTAATCGAACGACGATCGATCGATTTGCATTAAACAAAAGTTAATATATTATATATATATATATGCTCTAATAATTTATATATAAGTGCCAGCAACACCAGCAACCTTTACTGTATAAATTAGGATAGATTTCTCCTTTCCCTTCTCATTTTTGCTATGTTTTGGAACTTTAGATGCGTTTGGATTTTGGCTTTGTGAAAAGAAAAGGAATTAATGGGTCTGTGAACAAAACCAAACAAGGTGAATGATTTTTATTTTTAATTTATCCAGTTAGTCAATATTAAATAATAATTTTTATTTTTAATTTATTCAGTTAATGAATAGTTAATAGTATTTTAATAATTCAAACACCTATTCAACCCACTATACGCTCATACATAACCTGAATATTTTTTTACCGAATATCTGGATATTTTAAAATAATTATAAACTAATTTGAATTCTTGGTCAGAACTTTTATTTTTAAATAATTAGAAACTAATTTGATGAAATAAACATAAAAAATATATATTAAAAACAAAAAACTCCACTCCAAAAAATAAAAAAACCATAAGAGATTATTGAGTTTTTTTTTTTAACCAATTTAGGTTTTCAAAAAATTCAAAAAATTCAAAAAAAAAACTCAACCAAACATAAATGTCTCTCCCTCTTCATTATAGACAAGAAAAGGAATGAAAAGATTATAGTTACGTACTCGAGTGCGAAAAAATGGGTCGCATCCCGCAAGGGTGAGCTAACTCCAAAAATTCATCCTCAGCTTGAATTGCAAGTTGCAACTCGAAGCCAGAATCGCTAAATAAAGAAAAGATGCTTATTTCTTTCTCTGAGTCTTATAATTTTGTGATCAATAGTTGTTTGATTGGCATACCATACCAAGCTAAAACTGGCCTACTTTTATTTTGAATAGTGAACATACCAATTTGACTGCTTTACTAGGCTGATAATATTGAACTCCAAGTATTTTTATCTTCCCTAAACAAACAGCATGCAGTTATGTAATATTGTTGGATATATCCCTGTGGCAGTCAAATTGAATAGTATTTTGCTGGGATCTAGATTCTCTCTAGCACTTTCTTCATCCAACAGTCAGTTCAAAAGCATAGGCTGGATAAAGAAAGTGAAGCAGAGAATCCACTTCCATTTTGCCGAGGCCAATTTGAGACATCAACAATAACTGACCTACTAACAGCAGCATAACCAACCTGCTTTCAAACAACAGCTAATGGCTGTGATGTGCTGCAGCACACTATTTCAGGTGGTAAATAAAAAACTCTCTCTCCCTCTCTCTCTGACTGGTGAAAACCAATTCATGTAGCATGGTCTTAATTTGATCCCACAACCTACAATTAAGGTAAAGAGAGAAGGACCTGTTTTTCGATCATTGGATGGAAAAAGTAAAAACTAACGCACCGTAACAAATTAAGAAGAGAACAAGGTAATCTTACACCTCATATAACACAGATAGTATCAAGTCACAAAAAACATTCAGTGGCATCTTCTGGAATTCTAAAAAAGCAAAGATCACCTATAGCACATCAAAAATCTTCAATAAGCATGTATATTTTCTCGCTTGTGTGAAAGTTCACACACTAGAAGGCCCACAGATAGCCTATCAACTGTTTCCCCTGGCAAATTTTTCAGTAAAAGAGGCCGCTCATATGCAAGCTCTGATTAGGTTTGAAGTGACTGAACCTGGAGTCTGTGTCACCGAGGTAATGCAAAGTCTAGGGAAAGCCAAAAAGCAAAATACAAAACTAATTAGTGGAAGAACCCCTTCACTAAAAAGAGAATGGTAAAGTTGTTGAGTGGTAAGAACATTAGTAGTTGCTTGCTTCCCCATTAATATGAGGATGGGATTTAATCCGAAGACAATATCACACCACATTACAAGATTCCCATGAAGCTACATCATAAAAATGTGCAATTGGCCTTGTGCAGGTGAAGATCGAGTGTGAATTAGTGTATACTTTTTATCAAAAACCTTATTATGTCCAAGATAGAGGGGAATAGCCACTGAACAAACTCTTAGGATCCCACAAGTTAACCATCTAGTACATATGCTTATATATATAAAGGGGCAAACTAATATTGAGTAATAGCCAGTCTCCTCGCTAATTCATTGCCCAAGGCTACTCATCTATAGCTTCATTGCATGTGTAACTTCCTAAACTATGAGATACATTTACTTGGGTGCTAAATTTTCAACATTCTAGCAACTAAAAGTTCTAATTTCATCCTTATTCTCCATCAACAACACTTCCAATAATGTATTATTGCCAATAACTGAGATGCACAAACTTAGTAAAGCAAATAACATGTAAATAAGGTCTAGCTTTCTATGTGAAGCCTCAATAATTTGCTCAAAGAAACAGCCCAAGAGAAGACATTGACATAAGGCTATTAATGCTGAATAGAAACGATATGTCAACCAAGGCGCCCCCCCCAAAAAAAAAAAAAAAAAAACAAACCCATTTATAAACAGTGATATCTTGAAATATGCACAAACTCATGTTGTGATACACAATTTTTTACAATCCAAGGAAACCTGAAAGGGATAAAGACCTAATAGATGTTGCTCGTAGCAATTACACATCATGCAATTCGCCTACAAAAGCAATTTCACAATGGCAGAATCATAAAACCACCAATGGAACTTACATTGGGATATCAACTAATAATTAAAGTAAATGGCATCACTCAACTTGAACAAAAAAGTTTACATAAGCTGCAAAACTTAACATCAACAATTTCTAAACTTTAAGGACCTTTTCCTGCTCAAAAAGATATGGAAACAAATCCTATGCACTTATTGCCTTGTATCAATCCGGCAAACCTTGTCACAACGGTATTGCAAATCCTATATCAACAGGTAGATCAACTAGTCAGAATAGTCATTGTGCAGAAAACAAGAGTCATTATTCACCATTATCAAATGTTTGAATTCTAACGCCGGTAATGCATTTAAACACCAAATACTGATAACCGCTATATCAAATGTAGACTAAAAAACAAAACTCAATTCATTAACCATTACAAGCTAGCAAAGTGAACTATACCAAATGTTTGAATATATTTGAATGCTAAACCCATTGATGCATTTAAAAAACCAAGTACTGATAACTAATATTACAAAAAAAATTCTCTCTCTCTTTTTATTTTTTTTTTTAAAAAAAGAATAATTCAAATGTAGACTAAAAGAACAAAAAACCCAATTAACATCAACATGAAGCATAACTTACAAGATTCATATCGTATTTGTTGATATACAAATAAACAATCTACTTAGCTCGAAAATTACGAATGAATTCATTTCAAAAAGAAAGATAATAGGGAAAGTACCTTCAGAAAGCAAGCTCTAGCAGGAGGAATCAATGGCAATGTTGGACCTAAGACAAGCAGAAGCAATGGCGCTGTGAAGTGGCATCATTGACTCCACACTTGCCAGCATTGAAACAACCCTGAAATCCAATACAACTACTTACATAAATAGATATATATATATACACATGTATGAAAGAAGAAGCAGAGGGGTTTTACCTTGAAGCAGAGAAGGGGATGGGTTTTTGTAGACACCCCATTTTTGACCGTCCTCAAGACTTGGACGTCACCATTGGAACACTTGGTGATTACCCTTGTTTGTGTTCGTCTTGAGTTCCCGGAGGTCTCGGTTGCGCGCCTTGACTCAGGACCTCTCGACTCGACCGTGTTGTGCCTGGTTTTGCACCAAACACTTGTGTTTTGCCTTGGAGGGGCAGAGAATGCCTTGTGAGGCATCCCCACACATCACCGGCCATGGCTTGAGGCCACCGGCCAGCGATTTTATTCCATCGGCAATGTATATTGCCGGTCGGCACTCTTTGTTGCCGGTCGGCCATTTATTTTGCCAAAAAGGCAATTTTGAATGGCCGATCACTGTTCATCTACTTTTGATAGATATTTTGTGCCAGCTGTGATAGCTGGCACCCACTCTGCTCCCCTCTATACACGTGTATGGAGGGATTTCTCTCTTGACAAGCTTATTTGACAAGCTTTACAAGAGAGAGCTTTATAAGACAGAGTCTCCTCTCTTGGCATTAGGGTTAGACAACATTTTAGAGAGTTTTGATATTAGGGTTAGGAATTTGTATCTATTCCATCTCTATATTTCCCTCTCTTGTTAGTTTAGTGTGTTTTTTGTCATACTTTTGCACACAAGCACCCACTATTACACCTTCTCTTGGTTATTAAGGGCCAAAGGAGTGTTCTTGGAGTTTTGAAGCTGGTTTCAACCTAAAGAAGCTGCTGGAGCTCCATTGTTGAAGAAGGTCTTCAAGGGTAAGAAACTTGCTCCTTTTTACCCCTTTCTTGCATTGTATTTTTGCCTACCTTTCAATTGTTTTTGTGTTTAGTATATAACATAAAAAAGTTCTGTTTTTAGGCCCTCTAAATAGTTTGTTTAGAGTGTTTTGTGGTTTGAGTTTGTTTGACCCCTCTTAAGCCTTGTAAGGCTCCATTTTGTGCCATTTTGTGTAAGCTCCGAGACCTTGGTGTTTGGGCCTCCTCACCACTGAAATCTTGAGGGATTTCAGAGGTGAGAATGGTGCCTTGTGGTCCCAAGAAGGAGAGGGTCACCCCCTCTCCTTGTTGTCCTTGAAAAGGACCATTTTTGCCTCTTGAGGGAGCACCTAGCTTAGGCTCTTGTTGACCATGCCTTAGCTGATTTTTGTGCTTATTATGTCATAATATGCCTCTGTTTTTAGTTGGTTTTGGTACACCATGCTTGCTTAGCATACATGCCTTGTAATGCCATTTTGTTGCCTTAACATGCCTTAGGTTGTAAACCATTATTCTAGCATGTTTTAGGCCTAGCTTTGTGAAGCTTTTATGCTTGTTTCAGTATGCTAAGAGACTATTTTTGGTCATTTGAGTCATCCATGCTTTGCTTTGTATAGCTACCATGCAAACTCTCTTGTGTACCTTGAGCATTGACCCCTCTAGTATGCTCCCCTTGCATAATTTCAGTGGTTTGGCGCCATTAGTCATGTCATTTCAGTCCATATAGCATGCTTGTATACTTGTATTTATGGCTCCTTTGATGTTTCAAAAGGTTTGTGTTCTATGCTCCATGTTTGGGTCATTGCGCATGCCCTTAGACTTAGGCCATTTAGATGCCATCTAGGTGTGTCTTTGACCTTGTCTTGGTCTTCTTAGGGACTGTTTTGAGTCCCCTAGACCCTTTGAGACTCACCTTGCATAGCCACAGTTTGATCCCTTGGGTTAGCCTTGAGCCTTGGACTTTACTTGCATGTTTTGATTGCTTTGTTTAGTTGGTTTGGCACCATCCTTAACATGATTTTCAGAGCTTCGTGTGCATGCCATATGTCCATGTTTGCATCCTCCTAAGTGTGCTTGAGAATTGTCTCTTTATGCCTAAGTGTTGGTCCTTGTATACATGCATGTTTGCATGCCATTAGTCCTTCATTTTTGGGCACCTTGGCCACTGTTTTAGGCCTAATAAGGGCTGCCTAAACCATGCTTAAGTCCATCATTTGCTTGTTTGCATGCTTGCCTTGCATATTTGCTTGCATACTTGCATGAACACATTGCATTACCCATGTTGCATGCCTAGTTAATATGCTTAGGTTGCATTGCATGCATGCTTTGCCTCTTGATTATCCATGATTGAGGTTGAGCTCCTCACTCTACCGGTGGTGGGTGGGGATGGTCTACAAGCCCTACCCTGCCCCTCCAAGGCAAAACACAAGTGTTCGGTGTGAAACCGGACACTAAACGGTCGAGTTCAGGGATCCTGAGGCAAGGCGCACGAGCCAAGACCTCCGGGAACTCCAAACGAACACAAACATGGATGATCTCTGAGTGTTCAAACGGTGACGTCCAAGTCTTGAGGACGGTCAAAAATGGGGTGTCTACACATTACCATGCAAAGCTCTGTCCTCTGCTGCTGTCAACCAGATTCTGCAGAAACTTTTTGCCGATCGACTGCACATAGTGCCGACCGGCAATATATCCGTGGCCGATAGCTTCATCAATGGCCGATGATCACATCTTACTATCAGTGGCCATTCTACCCGGCCGGTGGTGTCTCACAATATCCAGGGAAGCAATTCTGAGACTTTGGAAGTTTTCAGAGGGGCAGAGCAGGGAAAACAGAGGCAGCTTGCGCATGGCAGTGGACTTCCGAGCAAGACCCGAGCGCGCGTGCAGTGGGCCCTTTTCCCAAGCCCCTTTTTCTTGCTTTCTTAAATTAATTAATTTGTTTAATTAATTTAGTTGATCTGTAATAATTTAGCTAGGATAGTTAATTCATTATTCGAATTGTATTATTCTTTTGGTCCCGGCGGTGGCTCTTCCACCCGGGGTCACTCCGACGATCAAGTCAATATATCTCTCAAAGATAATCAAGTGCTAAACTCACTACTCAAAGCATAAAACTGCATACCTTAGACCCATGGGGGTGCCTCTTTTTTATAGTTTACACAATCCTAGTCCCACTATAAGCTTGACTTCTATGGACTCCAATTCTGTACTTACTTTGGATTTCTCAAGAGATAAAGATAAACTCCCTAAGAGTTTTATCCTTATCTTAGCAAAGTCTTCTCTTTACTCTAGGACTCTTGTCCCTTATCCAATTATCCGTTTATCTCGGATTCCGATATCTTCGAAGGCAACCTCGGCCTAGCCGAGATGACCTCGGCACAACGACCAAGACACGTGGCACCTCGGCTGACACGTCGGCGTCACCTTGCCACGTATTGGTACTCAGAAAATATATCCCCACACTTTCCATTCCTTGATTTGAACCTTTCCCCTTTATTATTCTTATTGTTCCTAAATTTGAAGAGTCTTGGGGAAGGGGGGTTGTAGTGGTAGGCTATTTGGAAAGGGGTTGGGTCGCAGTAGTAGGAAGCTAGGCCGGGGCGGAGGCACTAACGCCCTGTTTATTTTGGGAGATAGAATGGAGGAGATTGATAGTGAGGGGATTATTAGTGAAGGGATTGATAGTGAGGGAATTAGTAGTGAGGGGATTGATAGTGAGGAATTGTTAAATTATTTTTATATAAAATAATAAAACAAATAAAAAAATATAAAAAATTAAAAATAAACACTAGGGGTGGGCGCGGATCGGTTGCGGTCACGAAACCTCTAATCCGCCATCCGTCCGCCAGATTGGCGGATTGGAGAAAATCAATCCGCATCCGTCCGCCAATCCGGCGGATGCAGATTTGGCGGATTGGCGGATAGATACGAATCGGTTTGGCGGTTTGAAATTTTACAAATTTTCAACATATATAAAAACAAAAAACAATGCAATATTTATTTTTTATGGTTAACTAAACAAAAATAACAACAGAGATTCTTTTTCTTTTTTTTTTGTTTACAGACCCATTAATTTTTTGCTTATATTTCTAACCCAACCAAACAAAACAAATCAATTAATTTTCTGCTTATATTCCTAACCCAACCAAAAAAATAAATTTTTTTTTGTTGTTCACAGACCTATTAATTCCTTTTCTTTTCATAAAGCCAAAATTCAAGCCAAAATCCAAACGCATCTAAAGTTCCAAAACATAGCAAAAATGAGAAGGGAAAGGAGAAATCTATCCTAATATATACAGTAAAGGTTGCTGGTGTTGCTGGCACTTATATATAAATTATTAATATATATTAACTTCTGTTTAATGCAAATCAATCGATCGTCGTTCGATTAACTTCTATTTAATCGATCGATCGTCTAGAGAGAGAGAGAGAGAGAGAAAGAGACCTCACTGTAGATCGATCGTCGTTCAATGCAAATCGATCTCCAGTCAGAAGTGTAGATCGTCGGTCTCGGTCGTTCAGTGTAGATCGTCGGTCAGAGGTTCAATGTGTAGATCGTCGCTCATCACTGTGTAGATCGTCGGATGTGTTGGGTTCACTGTGTAGATCGTCGGATGGTAGGGTAGAGAGACAGAGAGAGAGAGAGAGTCCCTGCGTGTGTGTTGTTGGATTTGTTTGTTGGGTCTGTCAAGAAATTAGGGCAAAATCTAAAGAAAGGGGGCCTGAGGCAGTGAGGCGTAAGGAAAAATTGAACCCAAAAAAAAAAAGTCACAGGCGAGTCGGGTCTACTGGGTAAAATGGCGGATCACCCGCCACCAGACCCGAACCCGAGAAAACTGAAAAACCAGGTCCGCACTCGCCCGCCAGGGGTCACGCATCCATTCATCAGGTGTCGGGTCGGGTCGAGCGGATTTGGCGGGTCGGGCGATTCGTTGCACAGCCCTATGAACAACAAAAAACATTTATTTTTTTGGTTGAGTTAGAAATATAAGCAGAAAATTAATTGATTTGTTTTGTTTGGTTGGGTTAGAAATATAAGCAGAAAATTAATGGGTCCGTGAACAAAAAAAGAAAAAATGAATCTCTGTTGTTATTTTTGTTTAGTTAACCATAAAAAATGAATGTGATAAGGCCTTGCACAAATACTGATAAGGGGTCTGTGAATTATTTTTTTGTTTAGTTAACCATAAAATTTATTTGTTTTGTTTAGTTAATGGGTCTGTGAATTATTTTTTTGTTTAGTTAACCATAAAAAATCGGTCTGTTTAATTAACCAGAAAATTGATTTGTTTTGTTTTGTTTAATTAATGGGTCGGTTTAGTTAATGACTTGACTACTCTGTTTCAATCACTTTGTAATTAGAATTCCCAATTATAAACTTGTTTTGTTTCAATCAGTTGGACTGTTTTCCCTTAATGATTTGTTTGATTACTAAGAGGACATATCCAAAGAAATTAAACTAGTTTTTTTCCCCCTTTGATTGAGTTGATAAAAAGACATTGAAATTCTGTTAAGCATCTCTGTTGTTAGACCATGGATTTGAAAAGCATATTTTGAACTTTTTGGTAACCAATTCTGTTAACCAACTTTTTTGCACTTTATTGAAAAGCATGGATTTGAACCATGGATTTGAAAAGCATCTCTGTTGTTAGACCAGAGGACATATCCAATTTTGTTAACCAACTTTTTTGCACTTTATATTATATGGGGACTTAAGTATGTAAGGTCCAGCATTATTGGCACTTTTTCTAGATGTCACAAGGCCATCCTATATTGTGCATAGAGTATTGGAATTATATTGGCATTATGTTGGACAACAACAGGGTTGAAACACACACTGCCAATATTCTATTTGGAAAAAAATTCCAATATAATGTCATCATTACTGTCCAGGTTGTTTCATAGATGTGAAGAATGAATAAATATTGCATTTTTTTTTATATATGTTGAAAATTTGTAAAATTTTAAACCGCTAAACCGATTCGTATCCATCCGTCAATCCGCCAAATCCGCATCCGCCGGATTGACGGACGGATGCGGATTGATTTTCTCCAATCCGCCAATCTGTGCGGACGGATGGCGAATTAGAGGTTTTGTGGCCGCAACCGATCCGCGCCCACCCCTAGTTTTGGAATTTTGAATTTACTTTTTAGAAAATTGAGAGTTTTTTGTGTTTTTGTATATTTTTTTTTATTGATTTTTTTTAATATTTTAAGCAATTTTTTAGTTTTTAGATACACTTAACATAAATATACTTAAAAAGTATAATTTTATGAAAAAAATTTATAATTTTTTTTACTAAATATAAAAATACAAAAAAAAAATAATACTAAAATTCAATACATTTTTGTTTTATTGCATATTTATTGATTTTTTTATGTTTAGGTATATGTAAAAAATAAAATAAAAAATTATTAAAAATAAAAAAATATGAAAAATAAAAAATTCATTTTAAAAAAATGGAATTCAAAGGAAAAAAAAAACATGGCATTCGTGCTTCTTCTGGATAACGAGTCTAAAGACTGATAAAGTAGGAAACTAACCAAGATGATAGCTTTGATATTGTCGTCTGTCAATGGAAACTCAGGCTCACCATCCTTCTGAGCTCTCAGAAGAACATCAACCAAATCCTCCGCTTTTCCTCTCCCACTCTCTCTCTCTATCTTCCTCTCTCTGTGCTCGTTAACAATGTTTTCAAGTATCTGATCAAATCTCTTATGCAATTTCTCAAGCTTTCTTCTCATTCCACTCATCACCTCAAGCAATTTCACAGATGGGTACATATCAACAACACTGAACCCACCTAATAACTCCAAAGCTTCATCCATAGCTTCAATGAATTCTTCTTGGTCTCTGCTTTTCTTCCCAAAAGCAGCTCTAGCAGTAACCGCGTAGGTATGCGAGAAAATTCTCTTGCTCAGATTGATTGCCGACCCTGTGTTCAACGAAATGTCTCTGACAAAATTCATCGCCTCCTCTTCCCTAATTCCCCGGAACGTTTCGACGCGCTTTGAGCTCAGAGCCTCTGTTATGCAAATCTTTCGGAGTTGTCTCCAGTAATCACCGTATGGGGCAAAGCATATGTTTGTAGAATTGTAAGATATAATCCGAGAAGCGAGAAGGTAAGGTCTTTGAGCGAAGATGAGGGTCATGGGTTTTCATAACCTGTTCGGCTGTTTCTGGGGAGGAGACAACGATGGTGGAGACTTCGCCGAGGCGGAGGTGCATCAAGGGTCCATGTTTTTGGGCCAAGTTTGTCAAGGTTTGGTGGGTTAGTGATGAGCTAATAAGCTGGTGCATGTTTCCTATGAGAGGTAGTTGCCATGCCCTGGAGGGAGCTTTGAAGTTGAGCGATTGGGTTTGGTTGTGTTGATCAAGATTTTGAGTACCATGAAAATGAAGAGCAGGAAGGCCAAGAGGAGAGATGGTGATGAAAACTGAAGCTCCATTATCAGAAGAATGTGAGGTTAGCGTCTTACTAGGAAACATGCATTTTATACTCAGAAAAACAGTTGCGTAACCAGTAATTTCATTTAGTTGAGTCATTCAATAAGGTATCATCATTATTAGACTTTTAGTTTTGCGAAATCTGTCACCGTAATATTATAATATATTTCCATTAACATCGACACAAATAATTCAAATTTATCAAACTACGTGTAAAAATAAACACATAAAAACATAATATTATATAGGTTAAAACAGTCTAAGGTGTACACGCCAAGCAATATCTTAAGCAGGCTCAATGAAAGCCAAGATTAGCCCATTGGGGGTTGGGTTTTTGGTTATTTTAAGTTGGGGTTAAAAAGTCTCGTTTGGGATAAATTTTTTGACTTTTTTGATTTTTGTGAGAGAAAAAATAAAATAATTATAGTTTGAACGTGACATTTTATCTTATTAGGCTAAAAAGCCTATTTTATCTTTTTATGGCTATTTTAGCCAAAAAGTCTCCGTTTAGCTTATGCCAAACGAGGATAATGTTGTCTACTAGCGCTCTACAATATGCCGCATCACCTGGCCAGTAACGGCCGCGGCTTAGGACAAGCTAATCAAAATTGTACACGGCTAAGTCTATATATAAAAAGGATTGGGATGTTTTTTAAGTTTCTTTAGGGTCAAATTGTCCAAAAAAATCATTAGAAACATGAAGTGGAAACAAAATTAAGAGGCACGTGAATTAACCACTGGACTCATTTTGTAACTCTCTCAACAACACTTTATAATTTTACTTTGCTAATTTTTATTTCTTCAAATTGTAGTGACACCATTCACTTAAATGTAGCCTCACGCTTGGCACTACTTAATACACCCAGAATGATCACATTTGGAAATTTTAATATTTATCTGAATCTTTTTTCTCTGTACCTTGGTTTTATCCTAGATTTAGTTTGTCACAAGATATCAGTGTAGCCGCCATTCATGACCTGTATGTATGATATGAACGACTACAAAAAGTTTCTCATAGCTGTCAATTGATTTATAGACCATTTGTCTCCTCTACTGAGCATGCGTTGCATATTATGAAAAATTCTACGTGTGCACAGAAAGTTTTGCACATAGAATACATAAATGTGAAACAATATTAGCAATTATTGATGTAAATATTTAATTCTCAACTATAAATATGAACATTTTATCTCATATTTATGTTTGATTATGTGACAATTTTTCTATGTGAGTAGCACAACTGATATATTTATCTCCTGCTTTTCTCCAAAGTACTCAGGATATGACTAATTTGATTCTGTAATGCTGATCTTATATATATGTATATATATATTTGTCTTGTTTGTTTGGTCTAAGTTGATGATGATAAGAAGCAATCCTTGATTTTTAATATGTTATCTAGTCTAATAAAGTGGCTACAGAGAAGTCCAACTTGAATTGAAATTCCTATAAGTTGTCCCAAAACATCTGTCTTTCAGTTTCAATCTCTCTCACTATATAGTATTTCTCAAATTAAAAACAACTGTTGTCACATAGTGAGGAGCTGAGGTTGGAGACAAGATTACCACCATTGGGAAAATTATTGGATACTTCTGGAATATCATGCTACTGAGCCTAGTTTTTAATCTCGATCAATGAAAAATTGTAGCACAAACTAAGTGAATCATCACCAAACTTAGGGAGAAATAAACATCACAAATGAACCAAACTGGGAAGAAATAACACCACAAATGATATCAAACTACTTT